AGCAGAATGGGTTGCCGATGGCTGCGGGGCGCTTCCCAGATGCTGTCGTCTGATCGCGCCCTTTAAATCCGCCCAGCATTCGCACCTATGTCGGGTCTAATTCTGCGTTTGATCGCGGCCTAAGACAGTATACCTCCGCTCTTCTCATTGGATCATAAGTCTGTATATGTGATAACAGCCCTTAATAGTATAGGTGAAGTTCGTGTCTAAGAGCCAGTTTGGTGTAGTGGTTAAGTGCATGGACTCTAATCTGAGAGAACCGGGTTTGATCCCCCGCTCCTCCACTTGCACCTGGCTGGATGACCTTGGGCAAGCCGTAGTTCTGATAAGAGATGTCCTTGAAAAAGAGCAGTTTCTGTCAAGAGCTCTCTCAGCCCCACCCACCTCACAGGGTGTCTGTTTTGGGGAGGGGAAGGGAAAGGAGTTTGTAAGCCGCTCTGAGACTCCTTGGGGTAGTGAAGGGTGGGGTATGAATCCAATCTCTTCTCTTTTTCTTCTTCTTCGAAAGCTGGAGCCGCCGCCCGGTCCCAAATACCCCCCGGAGGTTCTCGCCGAGGTGCTTTTGCTCTTTTGCAGTGTTACCATCTTAATTTCCCAGAGACCTAGACTTTGGTGAGATCATCTTGACACTTGAAAAGTGTGCTAATCGGGCTCGAATTAGTCCTTCGCTTAACACTTGAAAACAAGAACTGGGGGAAAACCCTTGTGGGTTACTAAGTTCAAAGGTGTTTTTATTGCAGGGCTGTTTTTTCCTATGGAGGCGATGCTTTCAAAAAGAGCTTAGAGGGGGGACGTTTTCTTTTTAACACCTAGAACCAAAAAACGATGTCAGCCCCACATCCAACTAGTTCGTTGCCTCAGCAAAACCAGCTTCTGTCCACCCAACTGCACTCACTTCCGTGGATCCCTGAGCCATGATTTAGCTTCTAGTCTGGGAGAACCGGGTCTGATTCCTCACTCCTCCACATGCAGCTGCTGGTGTGATCTTGGGTCAGTCACAAGTTCTCTCAGAGCTGTTCTCTCATGAGCAGTTCTCTGAAGAGCTCTCTCAGCCCCACCTACCTCACTGGGTGTCTGTTTTGAGGAGAGGAAGGGAAAGGAGATTGTAAGCCGCTCTGAGACTCTTTCAGGTAGTGAAGGGTGGGGTATAAATCCAGTCTCCTCCTCCTCCTCCTTCTGATGTGACAGCTCAACTTAGTGGAGAAGTAACTTGGATTTAAGCATTTTGTATATAATCGAATCCTTGTTGCACTGTAATTGAAAGTTTTTCCTGCACAGGAAAATGTTAGTTTGCTGTATAACTCAAGAGCTAGATGTAAGCAGTGGTCCTCTTCGGAACTTGCACAGAGAATTTCAAGTCAGGGTTTGCTCGCTCTCATTTCCATGAGGGCCAAAATTCAAAATGTCACCCGTTGTGCAGAATAGCAAACTTCTGTTAACTCTAAATATTACCCAGAAAGTGCATTCGCCTTGGCAAAATGGGCCTGCCTTTTGCTGAATTAGCTGCGCATTCGTCCAGGATGTTTGTGGTGTTTCCATGCGGATCTTGTGACACCTGTGTGGTTGCCGTTTTTAAAAATGCAAATCCATCTATGCCTGTCATGCACATTATAAATGTCATGCTGCTGTACTCACCATCCAATATTGCTGTGCAACAATCACAAGTCTGAAACAATGTTTGGATTGTTCAGTATTCCTAAACACTATACAACCCGTGCTGCAGTGCAACAGTAGTCCACAAAGTCCGTCAATTAAAACTATTCCTTGGTTTTGGCAGAATGGAATAAGTAGAAGTAAATTTCTCCAGGGGGGGTTCAAGCAGTATTCAGTTTCATTATATGGGCATTCAAACACCTACAACTTCTGCTACATCCAAATGCCCAGCCCACACAAAATCCCATGACTCCCCAAAGGATGTTGCTTCTGTTTATGACCTATGGAAAGCTTATTCTTGTGTCTTTTATTTCATCATATTATTCCCAATTGTCCACTGCAAAACGACTACCAGTTTTATAGTTCTGCAGTTTATGCCTAGGGCGTGAAAGAGCCTGTGACTTGAATCGGGAATCTCAAGGCTGAGGCTGAGCTATCTGCAAGGCTGCCAATCTCCAGATACTGCCTGGAGATCTCCCAAAATTGCCGCTGATTTCCAGGCACTAGAGATCAGTTCCCCTGGAGAAAATGGGTGCTTTGGAGGGTGGGCTCTGTGGGCATTGTGCCTCGCTGTGTCCCCTCCGCTCCCCAAACCCCACCTTCTCCAGGCTCCAAACCCTAAAAAGGTAAAGGTTCCCTTGCTCGAACACCAGTCGAGTCCGACTCTAGGGTTGCGGTGCTCATCTCCGTTTCAAAGCCAAAGAGCCAGCACTGTCCGAAGATGTTTCCGTGGTCATGTGGCCGGCATGACTAAACACCAAGGCGCACGGAACGCTGTTACCTTCCCACCGAAGTGGTACCTATTTATCTACTTGCAATTTCTTGCTTTCGAACTGCTAGGTTGGCAAGAGCTGGAACTAGAGACGGGAGCTCACTCCGTCATGCGGCACACTCGGGTCTCAAACTGCTGAACTACTGACCTACTCCAACCCCTAAATCTCCAGAAATTTCCCAATCTGGAGTTGGAAGCCTTAGCTACCATGGACTATGTGTGCTCAGACCTCAGAACTTTCTTTAGGTCCAGCCTGGGACAAAAGTGTGCCACCTCCGCCCCTGTGATTGGCTAGCAGTTTGGAACCTCCGGATTGGCCAGATCACGTACCAACAGTAGAAGCCTCGCTTTCTCTAAATGCCGTCAACAGAGCAGAGCCTTTGGCTTGCCACATGCCAATCTCTACCTCAGGGATCCCGGAGCAGGCGTGGACTCCGAGATGGCGGCCCATGACTAACTCTCTCGTAACACATGTTGGCTTCTCTCCGCCGACTGACAGATGCCACGTCGCATCTCCTGGCAGTCACGCGTCGTATTTGTGTACCTAGTGCGAGTTTCCAAAGAAAAATAATTTCAGCCTGTTAATAAATAACAAGAACATCGTTTCCCCAGAACTTCCTGGAAAGGCCCCCCCCCTTCCATCTCTTTTGGGAAATTAAGTATTTAACGTTCCATGTTTTGTTGGCTGGCATCCTTGTTTGTTTTCCTTCTTCTTGAAAGACAATACTGATGGAAACACATCAATCCCACTTGCCCACATGGTGACTCTTAGAGGGGGCTCCTAATCACAACTGCAGCCATATAAAGAGGTGGGAATCATTAGCCTCAGGAAGAAGCAGAAAACAGCAAGGGGGCTGGGCTTTTCAGGAATGCTTTCACCCCCTGCACAATGCACTGCTGACGGGGATGGGGGTGTGTCTAAAAGGGCCCCAAAGTGGTCCTAACATCCAGGCTTACGATTCAACTTGGATTGCCCTTACTCTGAATTGGCTTCATTTGCTTTGACTCATTTTGTGTTTGCATTTACTTATTTACTTGGGCCTTTGTAACTTCTCTGCTCAATGCAGTCTCAACGCGGATTACCGAATCTCATAGGGTTGCCACCTCTGTGCTGGGAAATCCCTTGAGATTTGGGGGTGGCTCCTGGGGAGGAAAAGATTTGGGGAGGGAAAGGACCTCAGTGGAGTATAATGCCATACAGTCCACCAATGCTCCCTCTAAGCTGTGGAGTCCTGTGAGCAAAAATTCCACTTTGTGAGTGACTGGCATTCAAGTCGTGAGCGGGTGGTTTGGCGACTGCATCAGTGAGTTGGCTCTGGAGCCATCCTTCCTGAGCTGAGACAAAAATGTGTGAGCCGGAAGCTAAAAAACGGTGAGCTGCCTCACATTCACTCAGCTTCGAGGGAACACTGCCGTCCACCCTCCAAAGGAGAACCCATCTGAGTGAATGTGATCAGGAGATCAGCTGTCGCTGTGGGAGATCTCCGGGCTCCACCTGGAGTCTGGCAACCCTGTACATCGGGAAAAATCCACGCACACACAACAGCAACAAAACCCATCACGTTCCACAAATACAAGTTACGTAACAACAGAACTGCCCTCCAGCAACAGAGGCTATCAAACCACCAGTGCAGGAGCTCAGTTTGACCACAAAACTTCCAACATGATCAAGTTATGTACAGAGAAATGAGAATAAGAAGATATCTGAAAATAAAAATCCCGGGTTGGGAAATACCTGGACATTTGGAATCGACCCCGAAGAGGGTGCGGTTTGGGGAGGGGAGGGACCTCAGCAGGATATAACGCCATAGGGTCCACCTTCCGAAGTGGCCATTTTTTCCAGGGGAACTGGTCTCTGTCGCCTGGAGATCAGTTGTAATCCCAGAAAATCTCCAGCCGCTGCCTGGAGGTTGGCAACCCTAGGTAGTAGCGGCTCTGCCCTGGGTGGAACCAGTCTGTCCCTCAAGATGTACTGCTAATTCTGATTGGCCACATGGCATGGCAGTAGCTTGACACTCTCTTCACAAACTGGCTTACAGGGTGAGCAGTGCCGTTCCAGAACTATTGTTCTTGCTCGGAAGGGGCTTGGTGTGCCCCCAGTGATGTCTAATCTGCCTCACAGGGTGGTGGTCGGGCCAAAATGGAAGAGGAGAACAATGTTTTGAGGTCCCCAGTGAGGAGAAATGCAGGATAGAAATGTCTGAATTGGTAGATAAAGCCAATGCAAGCAATCAAGGTGACTTTTACTTCTCCTCTGTCTAGAGGAGTGGTGGGGCACATTTCTTTTGGAGGGGCGGAACATGCCACAAGGAAAAGATGTCCCCTCTCTCATGCCCACTCCAGGCCTGTGCTTTTGCATTCTATTGGCTTCCTCTCCTTTGTCTTTCTCCCACCTATGGAGTCTGGCAATCAGGTCTGGGGGTGGATACAAATTAAGCTGCCTTCTACTGCATCTGACCTCTGGTCCATCGAAGTCAGTGTTGACTACTCAGACTGGCAGCCGCTCTCAGGCAGAGGTCTTTCACATCACCTCCTGCCTGGTCTTTTTTAACTGGAAATGCCAGGGATTGAACCTGGGACCTTCTATGTACAAAGCAAATGCTCTGCCAACTGAGCCACAGCCCCTCCTGACATCTCTCCTCCAGGTATTCCCAAACCAGAGCGACTGCAGAGTGGCTACAACCGATGCCTTCTAGCCATAACGTATGATTTTGTGTACTTCGCTAGTCTACTCCTAGATACTCCTGTAGATACTCCTGTAGATACTTTGCAGGTCTACTATAGACCAATCAGTTCCCCCGGAGGAAATAGCAGCTTGGACTCTCTGGTGCTGCATCTAGGGTTGCTAACTCCAGGCTGGGGAATTCCTGGAGATTTGGGGGTGGAGCCTAGAAAGGGTGGGGTTTGGGGAGGGGAGGGGAGAGAAAGAGCAGGTAGAGAAAGAGGTACTTTTCTCCCTTTCTCACAATACAAGAACTCGTGGGCACTCCATGAAATTGCTGAGCGGTCGGGTTAGAACGGATAAGAGGAAGTCCTTCTCCACCCAAAGAGTGATTAACACTTGGAATTCACTGCCACAGGAGGTGGTGGCGGCTACAAGCATGGACGGCTTCAAAAGGGAATTAGATAAGCATTTGGAGCAGAGGTCCATCAGGGGCTATTAGCCACAAGGTATAGATAGGGGCTCTGGGGCAAGTGATACTCTGTCATCTTGGTGCTGGGGGGAGGCAACAGTGGGAGGGCTTCTAATGTCCTGGCCCCACTGGTGGACCTCCTGATGGCACTGGTATTTCTGGCCACTGTGTGATACAGAGTGTTGGACTGGATGGGCCTTTGCCTGATCCAACATTGGCATCTCTTATGTTCTTATGTTAACTCAGTGGGGTGTAATGCCACAGAGTCTTCCCTCCAAAGCAGCCTTCTTCTCCAGGGGAACTGGTACCTGTCAATGCTCCCTCTAAGCTCTGGGGTCTTGTGAGCGACTGGCCTGATAGTTGTGAGCGAGCGATTTGGCTGCTGCATAAAATTAGTTTACGCAAAAGCCATCCTTCCTGAGTGAAGACAAAAATGCATGAGCCGGAGGCTACAAAACTGTAAGCCTGCTCACACGAACTCGGCTTAGGGGAAATACTGGTACCTGTGCTTTGGAGATCAGTTGTACTTCTTCTGGGAGATCTCTGGGCCCCACCTGGAGGTTGTAAACCCTAGTCGTATGTAGGGTTGCCAAGTCTTACCTGCTGCTGGAACGGGGGAGTCCCGGGTCATTCCTGGAGCGCGCGCGCCGCGACCACGTCACCCGGAAATGACGTGACCATGCCAGGCATGCTGGGGGCGGGGCCACGACCATCCGAGGGAAAACCATAGAGTTTTCCCTCGGATGACCGTGGCCCCGCCCCCAGCGTGCCTGGCGTGGTTGCGTCACTTCCGGGTGACATGCACGTCAGGTGCTTTGGGGGTGGGGTTCCCCCCCGGGGCCCAATCCACCAGCAGCGGGGAACGGGCCTCTGGGGCGGGGGTTTCCCCGCCCCCCGTGGGGACTTGGCAAGCCTAGTCGTATGAGTCTGATTTTCCTTCCCGAACTCTGCCCTTTCCCGGAACTACCTTCAAATTTCCAGGAATATCCCAAGCCAACTGGCAACCCTAGATACGCAGGTGGTTTGAAGGCCTGCGGGGTAGGCCTTGGGTCCTGGCCAACTGAGCTGCAGGGAGATTGCCAGGTTCCCCATCACCTCCGGTGGGGTGGTACGTTTGCCAGCTCCGGGTTGGGAAACTACTGGAGATTTGGCGGTGGGGCCTGGGGAGGACGGGGGCCTCAGTGGGGTGCAAGGCCGCCGAGTCCTTCCTCCAAAGTATCCGGGGGAAGTGATCTCTGTAGTCCGGAGACAAGCTGTAACTCTGAGGCATCCCCAGCAATGTTCCCTCTCAGCTGTGGTGTCTTGTGAGCAAAAATTCTACTTTGTGAGCTACTGCCATTAAAGTTGTGAGCAGGCAATTTGGCTACTGCATGAATTAGTTTCCTCTGGAGCCATCCTTCCTGAGCTAAGACAAAAATGTGCGAGCCAGAGGCTAAAGAACTGTGAGCTAGCCCACACTGACTCAGCTTAGAGGGAACACCCCAGATCCCACCTGGAGGCTGGCATCTCTACCGGGCTGGGTAACAGGCAACCGTGCTACAGCGACAATCCGGGGGTGGACTGACTTCGCTCCTCGGCCTGCCTACGGGCACTCTGCCCCCGGTCCAGGTGCGCCGCCCGCTCCCGCTCCCGGGGCCACCTGTGCGAGTAGGTTAGCCCGCAGTGATGCCAGAGCGCTTTGTTGGAAGCTCAGCTGCCGCGGCTCTTTAATCAGATATCATTTCAAAGCCCAATTTAATTAAATCTCGGGCTCTGGACACCCTCTTGAACGGGTGTCAAGTACGCCTTTAATGCTAGCCACCCCGCCAGAGTTATTTCAGCGAGTGGAACGGTGCCAAGGCGAGGTGAAGGGGGTGCCAATCCGACAAGCTTTCTGCGCTCCAGGGGCTGGGAGGGAGAAGGGGGTGCCAATCTCACTGGCTGTTAAATGGGTCCAAGAATCTTAGCAGGGATAAGCCCGGTCTTGCAGCCGGCTGCTTCAAGGCCAGGGTGGTTTTCTCCTTGCATTGCCGTGCAAAAAACCTCCCAGATCTCTTCTTTTCACTTAGGTAGATTCTGGGAAGGGGGGGGGGAAGGTTTAGCTGTGTTGGTCTGAAGCAGCAGAGCAACATTTGAGTCCCCCAGCACCTTTAAGGGGTCTTGACTCTTCAAAGAGCTACTGTAGCGAAAAACTTTGTTCTTTCGCTTAGGTGTAACCGTTCAAACGTTGGAGTGAGAACCTCCTTCTTTGGAGGTTTTTAAACAGAGGCTTAGATGGCAACGCTGATTGTGTGAACTTAGGCAGATCATGAGAGGGAGGGCAGGAAAGGTTGCATCAATCCTTCGTTCTCGTGGCCCATTCTTACGTGCCCAGGGAAACGCTGATTGCCACTTTGGGGCCAGGAGGCAATCTTTCTCCAGGCCAGTTTGGCTGGAGATCCTGGAGGTTTTTGTCATCTTCTGGGCATGGAACAGGGATTACTGAGGGTGTGTGGAGAGGGAGGTATTTATGAATGTCCTGCATTGTGCAAGGGGTTTATTATTTATTTATTTATTTATTAGATTTTTATCCCGCCCTCCCGCCGAAGCAGCTCAGGGTGGCTTACAACAATAAAAACCAGTAAAATTAATACAGAACATCTATAAACAGTCATTAACAATAACAGTTGGACTAGATGACCCTGGAGGTCCCTTCCAACTCTATGATTCTAGGATTCTATGGCCCCGGTCACACCACAGGAAAAGCCGGGGCGTAAGTGCGGCTTTTTCGAAGAAGAAGAAGAAGAAGAGAAGAGATTGGATTTATACCCCGCCCTTCACTACCCAAAGGTGTCTCAGAGCGGCTTACAAACTCCTTTTTCTTCCCCTCCCCACAACAGACACCCTGTGAGGGAGGTGGGGCTGAGAGAGCTCTGACAGAAACTGCTCTTTTTCAAGAACAGCTGTGCCAGAGATATGGCTTGCCCAAGGTCATCCAGCCAGGTGCAAGTGGAGGAGTGGGGAATCAAACCCGGTTCTCCCAGATTAGAGTCCACGCACTTAACCACTACAACAAACTGGCTCTCAGAGCCGCAGCAAAAGAGAAGCACGGCAGCGGGATCAGACAGATTCCCCCGAGCTGCTGCGCATATGCTCCCCAGCGTGATCAGATGCGAGGGGGAAGCCACGGACAGAAGAGCGAGGCGAGTCAACTGCGCATGTGTGCGCCTGAGCAGTTCGGCAGAGGGCCTTGCATGCTGCGGGAGACAGGCGCGTCGGCGATCACACGGCCGCCCGTGCCGCAGATTTTCCAGTAGGTAGTAGTGTTTTGCAGGGGGTTTTTTTATTCCGCATCTTCGGCCGGAAGGGACGGGTTGGGGGCGGGTGCGCGACGCTTGCCAGATGTTGGCATCTAATCCGCCCTCAATCCGCCCTCAATCCGTCCATTCCGCGGGGCAATTCCTCCCGTGTGACCGGGGCCTATGTTTCAAAAAACTGCTGGGGGGGGGGAACACTGGACGTGTGAAAATGTTTTAAATGTTTTCTGTTGGAGTTTAAAAAGTTCATCCCTCCAGCTGTGTGTGCGGGGGAATCAGAACAACAGGGCAAGGAAATTCAGTTCCGGTTGTCAGTGCCACAGCCTTTCCCCTGAAGCCCATACGTTGATTTATTTATTAAGAAAATGTGTGCCTTTGCCTCTGCTGAGAGCCGTTGAGGGTCGCCAGCCTCCCCGGGGGACCTGGTGATCTCCCAGAACTCCAGTTGATCTCCAGATTACAGAGATCAGATGCCCCACAGAACAGGTCTTTTCCCCTGCTGGATTTGATCCCGTTGGGTTGTGAATTAGCTAAGAGGCCTTGGACTCCACTCAGTACCAAACAGCATTTTGATCTGTGCATGGTCATTGTACCGACCTGGACTCACTGCACCGGTTGATGAAGGACTTTCTCGAAATGGTCTTAATATTATGCACGATACCGTCAGGGTATACTGGACAGTATTTTCTCTATGGGCTGTTATTGCCTAGGGTTGCCAAGTCTTACCTTTAGCTGGAGTGGGGGACTCCCAGCCATATCCTGGAGTGCACGCATGCAAAGCAAGCACATGCCGCAACCACGTCACCCGGAAGTGACATGATCACTCTGGGCACGCTGGGGATGGGGCCACGCCCATCCGAGGGGAAACCATAGAGTTTTCCCTCGGATGACCGTGGCCCCACCCCCAGCGTGCCCGGCGTGGACGCGTCACTTCCAGGTGACATGCACGTCACGTGCTTTGGGGGTGGGTTTTCCCCCGGGGCCCGATCCGCTGACGGCGGGGAACGGGCCTCTGGGGCGGGGGTTTCCCCGCCCCCCGGGGGGACTTGGGAAGCCTATTATCGCCCCAGGAGGGCTTGTGCTTGTGGACTATTTTGGATTGTATTACTTTAAGAACCATCAGTCTGTGCTTTGGATGGCTTTATGATGTGCATTGCATTCTTTTGAAGTGCCGTATGTGTTTACATATTCAATATATTTAATATATTCCTGAGTA